GTTCTTAAATTTGAATGTTGTTCCCTTCTGTCTTAAAGAGGAAAAAATGTATCTCAGATCCCCAGTGAAGACAAATTTTTTTGTGCTCTGAAATAGATACACACAAAAATGAGAAGTTCTTTAATATGTAAAGAACTTTTAGTACTTTAATACTTAAAGAATTGTAATACTTTTCTGGTATAATACTTATACCATAAAAACCAAACCTTCAATAAATAAAACTACAAAACCTATAAAATAAGAACCAACACAATTCTATGTGATGTTACGTTTTTTCTTGAAACACACTTGTAGTTTGCTCAGAGACTCTAACATGGGTTCTTTTGAGTTTGGGGATGCGTCTGTAAATGTGTGCTCTGTGGAGACCCAGTTTCCCCACCACTGTTCTCTTCAAACACTCACTTGTTAGCAAATGTCTTATGTGCAGCACATTCGTTATATAGAATGCCATTCTTCATCTGACCTGGGACATGTGAATCCATAAAGCTAGCATCTGCTCTTCTTCTTAGTCTTGGACAACAAGTCTAAAGACTGAAACAGGATCCGCACTTTTCACCCTCGTCTTCAGACTGGTCTGATGGCTCAGCTCTGAAAGGCGAACGGGGCTGGCAGAAAAATCTGTGCCTGGGAATGGTCACCTGGGTTTCTCTGGGAGTAGCTAGCACTGGTGTTGTAAAAAGCATTATTTTAAGTGTTATCTCACCATCATTTCTTCAAAGACTCCAGGCATTTGACCTGCATTTGTAGAGGAGTGGTTTCATGAGCTCACAGCCTAGGATGATTCTTGCAGAGATTTCTATGTGGATGCCTAGCTAAGGGGATATTTTGAAGAAGTCGGTCCTAGAGCCTTTAAAATAATCATTCTTTAAAGAATTATCTCCCCATTGATCGCCATTACTTCAAGAACAGTAGCCCCTTTCGCCATCCTTTCATGAATAATTTTTTGGAGCTGGCCTTTGTGTGAGGTATGAAGTGTGGGTCCCGGGTCAGTCCTTCCCTCTAGCTGGTTATCCTGAGAGATGAGAAGCACGCATGCGGAAGACAGGTGAAAAGTGCAGATCCTGTTTCAGCCTAATGACTGATCCGCACTTTTCTCCCTCGTTTTCAGACTGGTTTGATGGCTCAGCTCCGAAGGGGAAACAGTGCTGGCAGACAAATCTGTGCCAGGGAATGGTCACCAGGGTTTTTGGAGGAACAGCTAGCACCAGTGTTGAAAAACTCATTGTTATTTCACCATTATTTCACCGTCTTCAAAGACACAAGGCATTTTCCCAGCAAGGAGTGGTTTCATGAGCTCACAGCCTCAGGTGATTCTCGCAGAGATTTCTATGTCCGTGCCTAGCTAAGGGGCTATTTGGAAGAAGTCAGTCCCAGAGCCTTTAAAATAACCATTCTTCAAACAATTATCTCCCCACCGGTCACCATTAATTCAAGAATGGTGGCCCCTTTCACCAATCATTCATGAATAATTTTATGGAGCTGGCCTTTGCGAGAGGTGGAAAGTGTGGGTCCCGGGTGTCAGTCCTTCCCTCTGGCTGCTTATCCCCAGGGATGGGAACCACGCATGGCCGAGACATGTGAAAAGTGCGGATCCTCTTCCAGTCTACTAGACTGAAGGATCTACTAGACTGAAAGAGGATCTGCACTTTTTACCCTCCTCTTCAGACTGGTTTGGTGACTCAGCCCCAAAGGGGAAAGGGTGCTAGCAGGCAAATCTGCGCTCCGTCACAGTCACCGGGGCTTTTCGAGGAGTAGCTAGCACCAGTGTTGAAAAAATCATTACATTAAGTGTTATTTCACCATTATTTCACCATCTTCAAAGACACCAGACATTTCCCCAGCATTTTTTGAGGAGAGGTTTCATGAGCTCACAGCCTCAGGCGATTCTCGAAGAGATTTCTATGTCCATGCCTAGCTAAGGGGCCATTTCGAAGAAGTCAGTCCCACAGCCTTTAAAATAACCATTCTTCAAAGAATTATCTCCCCACTGGTCACCATTACTTCAAGAACGGTGGCCCCTTTCACCATCCTTTCACGAATAATTTGGGGGAGCTGGCCTTTGCGAGAGGTGGAGAGCCCAGGTCCCGTGCTTCTCTGCTTATCCCCAGGGATGGGAAGCCCACATGCCCAAGATGGGTGCAAAGTGTGATCCCGATTCGGTCTACTTTAGACCGAAAGAGGATTCACACTTTTCACCCTTCTCTTCAGACTGGTTTGGTGACTCAGCCCAGAAGGGGAAATGGTGATGGCAGACAAATCTGTACTCGGGCACAGGCACTGGGGTTTTTTGAGGAATAGCTAGCACTAGTGTTGAAAACATCATTACTTTAAGTGTTATTTCACCATTATTTGACCTTCTCAAAGACACCAGACATTTCCCCAGCATTTTTAGAGAACTGGTTTCATGAGCTCACAGTCTCAGGTGATTCTCACAGAGATTTCCATGTCGATGCCTAGCTAAGGGGCTATTTTGAAGAAGTCTGACCCAGAGGCTTTAAAATAACCATTCTTCAAAGAATTATCTCCCCACTGGTCACCATTACTTCAAGAACGGTGGCCCCTTTCACCATCCTTTCACGAATAATTTTTTGGAGCTGGCTTTTGCGAGAGGTGGAGAGCACGGGTCCGTGTGTCAGTCCTTCCCTCCGGGTGCTCATCCCTAGGGATGAGAAGCGCCCATCGCGAGACAGGTGACAAGTGGGGATCCGCAGTTTTCACCCTCCTCTTCAGACTGGTTTGGTGACTCAGTCCAGAAGGGGAAATGGTGCTGGCAGACAAATCCGTCCTCTGGCACGGTCATGTGGGTTTTTCGAGGAGTAGCTAGCACGAGTGTTGAAAAACTCATTACTGCGTTATTTTACCATTATTTCACCATCTTCAAAGACACCAGGCATTTCCCCAGCATTTTTAGAGGAGTGGTTTCATAAGCTCACAGCCTCAGGTGATTCTTGAAGAGATTTCTATGTGGATGCCTATGGATTTCTATGTGGATGCCTGTGGATTTCTATGGGGGGGCTATTTTCGAAGGCTATTTCTATGTCTATGCCTATTTGGGGGCTATTTAATATGTGGGGCTATTTAATATGTGGGGCTATTTCAAAGAAGTCGGTCCCAGAGCCTTTATAATAACCATTCTTCAAAGAATTATCTCCTCCCTCCCCCCCATTACTTCAAGAACAGTGGTCCCTTTCATCATCCTTTCAGGAATAATTTTTTGGAGCTGGCCTTTGTGAGAGGTGGAAAGTGCGGGTCCTGGATGTCAGTTCTTCTCTCTGTCTGCTTATCCCCAGGGATGAGAAGCGACCATGCACGAGATGGGTGAAAAGTGCGGATCCTGTTTCAATGTACTTTAGACTGACTTTGTTTTCTTTTTTTTGTTTGTTTGTTTTTTATTTTGGCATATTATGGGGATACCAATTTAAAGTTTCAAAAAAATTCCCCTTCCACCCCTCCCCCCACAAGTCTGAGTTTCCAGTGTGACCATCCCCCAGATGGTGCACATGTCACTCAATATATATGTATACACCTGCCCCTCTCCTCCCTCCCACCTGCCCAATACCCTATTACTGTAGTTCTTATGTGTCCACTTAGGTGCTGCTCAGTTCATACCAGTTTGCTGGTGAGTACATGTGGTGCTTGTTTTTCCATTCTTGGGATACTCACTTAGTAGTATGGATTCCAGCTCTAACCAGGAAAATACAAAATGTGCTATATCACCATTGTTTCTTAGAGCTGAATAGTACTCCATGGTATACATATACCACATTTTATTAGTCCACTCTTGGATTGATGGGCACTTGGGCTGTTTCCACAGCTTTGCAATTATGAATTGTGGTGCTATAAACATTCAAGTGCAGGTGTCTTTTTTGGTGGGACTGCAAACTAGTTCATACTTTAGACTGACTTTGAAACCTCTTCTCCCTCTGCTGTTAGAGGTTCTGGTTCCTCCAGTGTGACATGGTTTCAGAGGATCTTCTAAGTCCACTCACACTCCTGCAGATACACCTTCTTCTATTTGTGTGGTCAATTACATTTATAGATTTGCATATGTTGAACCATCCTTGATCTCTGGGATGAAGCCCACTTGGTTGTGATTTTTTTTTTTTAATAAGCACCTGAATTCAGTTTGCTAGGATTTTACTGAGCATTTTTACATCTATATTCATAATAGATATTGGTCTGTAGTTTTCTTTTTTTGTTGAGTCCTTTTCTGGCTTTGGTATTAGGGTGATATTGGCATCATAAAATATGTTGGGAAGGATTTCTTTCTTCTTGATGTTGTGGAATAACGTCTGCAGGATAGGCATCAGTTCTTCTTTGTATGTCTGGTACAATTCAGGTGTGAAACCATATGGTCCAGGACTTTAATTTTAGGAAGGTTTTTTATTGCTGCTTCAATTTTGGTACTTGATATTGGTCTGTTCAGGAATTCTATATCTTCCTGATTGTACCTGGGGAGGCTGTGTGTTTCTAAGAATTTGTTCCTTTCCTCCATGTTTCCAAGCTTATGTGTGTAGAGTTTTATATAGTACTCATAGATGATATTTTGTATTTCCATCCTATCAGTTGTAATTTTCTCCGTTTTCATTCCTGATTGACCTTATTAGAGTCCTTTCTTTTCCGCTTCTGGTTAATCTAGCAAAAGACATTTTTGTCAATTTTGTTTATCTTTTCAAACAACCAACTATTTGTTTTATTACTCTTCCATATACCTTTTCTGTTATCAATTTCATTTACTTCTCCTTTGATCTTGGTTATTTCTGCTGGTTTTGGGATCGCTCTGCTCACCCTATTCCAGTTCTTTGAGACAAGTCATTACATTGTAATCTTTCCATCTTTTGAATATAGGCATTTACCGCTATAAGTTTTCCTCTGGATACTGCCTTAGCTGTGTCCCACAGATTTTGATAGGTTGTGTCCCTTGTTTCGTTTACTTCTAAAAATGTTTTGATTTCCATCTTCATTTTCTCCTTAACCCAATAATCAATCCTTCAGCAGTAGTTGTTTAGTTTCCATGACTTTGTGTAGACATAAGTGTTTCTGTTGGAGTTAAGATATATATTTTTATTAGCACAAAGGTACATGACAACTTAAATTATCTAAAGTCTGTGGCTTCACAATAACCAGCCCTCCATGTGAGGTGTTGATGATAGTGATTCAAATGTTACATTTTGGAGTGGGGTCTTTGTGAAGTGCAAATTCTGACTGGCTTTTAGAAGAAATCTATAGCCGTGATGAAGAGGAGTCAGTGTCTATCCCTAGTATTTTTTGTTCAATAAAAATCCACAGTCTCAAAATATGAAATTCTTTGTGGCTCAATTTACTAAAGCCTAGCAGAGCTCCATCCTGAGATAGTGCTGAACTCACCATGAGTCCTGGGCATAATGAGACCTGTCAAGAGATCCAGCTCTGCCCTAAGGGTCTATTCATATGGGAATCCAAGGAGCTTTGGTGGGAGGTTAGAGAGTGTGAGTTACGGGAAAAGAATGTTTGAATTTGGTACTTTCTTAATTACTCTCACAGGTAGTTGGAGCACAAAGAGACTTGAGTTCCCCAGAAGCTGGGGGATGCCAATACAGTGGGCAGAATGGGCAAATAATAGCAGGCATAAAGTAAAGGGGAAATATACGCTGACTACCACTAGAGCTAACCTCAGAAACCAAGAAGAGTCTCAGGTAAATAAGTCCAAAGTGAAGGGACTTAAAGAGAAGTTAAATACAGTGGAATGAAAATGTGCTCAACATCGTTAGTCAGACACACAGTGAGATACCACCACCCACACCACAGAATGGATAAAATGAAAAGTTAGCAGTTCTAAGACATAGTAAGGATATGGAGTAACTGTAACTCTTATACACTACTGAGTGTCAATAGGCACAACCACTTTGGAAAATTCCTTGGCAGTATTATCATAATATACATATACCTCCTGATCCAACAGTCTCATCCCTAGGTAATAAAATAAGTGCACATTCCAGTTTCCAGTCCAAGGAGCTAGGGAGTCATGAGTCTATTCTAACAACAACTCAAAAGCCGAAGAAACAAAAACCAACAACTCTTCCTAGAGCTGGCAGAGAAGGTAGGTGACAGGGCAAGTTGTTGCCCCCAAAATTCGAGACAGACAGACATACAAATAAAGAGATCACAACTTACCAAAACAGACCAAAGAGCAGAAACCTCCCCAGGACCCAGTCCCAAGTCAGGAAAGCTTCACCTGCAGATGACACATTGCTGGAGGCTCCAAGTAGATAAGTCTGAGAGTTAAATATTTCAAGGAGGCCCAGTCAGAGAGGGACCCATAGTTTTGTGAGTTTTACCTCTAGGAGTCCTACCAGGTTCTTATAGGTGCTATTAGAGAAAAATCCCCCTAGTGCCTCCCATCAGGGAATTGAAAATAAGCCAGAGCATCTCTGCTTCTTAACAAGACCCCCTCGTGAGAAACTATTTAACCAGGGCATGACCCACTGGACTTTATCAGAGCCCAAGTGTCGTAGGGGAAGAGGAATTCCCAACTGCAGCCCACCCTTTCCATCCTGCTCCACCTAAGGGGTTGGGTGAGGAGACTGAGAAGCACATGGGAAGGTCAGAGCTCAAGGGCACAGGTTCCCCAAGAGACTGAGACCTACTGTGGATGTACAGAATGCCTCCCCTCCCCCAACACCATATGGTCACACCACTTAAAGGCCCATTTCCTGGAGTTCCTTTTAACCAGTACATCATGTCTGGCTTTCAAAAAAAAATTATAAGGCAGTATATTAAAAGGCAAAATAAAAATAAAATAAAATCACAGTTTCAAAAGATAGATCAAATATCAGATGCAGATTCAGATTTGGCAAGAATGTTGTAATTATCAGACTGGAAATTTAAAGCTACTAGGATAAATATGCTAAGGGGTCTAATGAAAATAGCCAACAGCATGCAAGAACAGATATATATCGTAAAAAGAGAGATTTTCTAAGAAGGAATGAAAAAGAAATGCTAGAGATCAGAAACAGAGTAACAGAAATGAAGCATGCCTTTGATAGGGTCATTACTACATTGGACATAGATGAGGACAGAATCTCTGGGCTTGAGGACACACCAGCAGAAACTTCCAAAACTGAGAAGGAAGAAGAAGGACTGAAAAAAAATAGAACAGAATATCCAAGAACTGTGGGTCATCTATAAAAACATACATATAATAGAAATACAAGAAAGAGAAGAAAGACAGAAAGAAACGGAAGAAATGCCAGAAGCAATAATGACCGAGAATTTCCAAAATGAATATCAGACACCAAACCAGAGATCTAGGAATCTCAGAGAACACCAAGCAGGATAAATGTAAAAAAAGAAGAAAAAAAACATACACATACATATCCCCCAGGCATATCATATTCAAAATGCAGAAAATCAAAGATAAAGCAAAAAATCTTGAATGAAGCCAGGTGGTGAGGTATGGGGGAAACCCTTATTGATAGAGCAACAAGGATAAGAATTATGTCAGATTTTCCTCAGAAACCATGTAAGGGAGAAGAGAATAGAGTGAAATATTGGACGTGTTGGGAGAAAATAGCCACCAATCTAGCACTCTATTCTCTGTAAAATTATTCCTACAAAGTGAAGAAGAAATAAATACTTTCTCAGGCAAACAAAAACCAAGGGAATTTGTTGCCAGTGGACCTGCCTAACAAGCAATGTTAATAGAAATTTTTCAGAGAGAAGGAACATGATATAGGGCAGAGGCTGGGCTCTACTTAAAGAAAAGCAATGTATTGGTGAAAGAATAAGTAAAGGAAAAATGACACTTTTTTTTTTCTTATTCTAAATCTAACAGACAAGTTTCTTTAAGATAATAGTAGCATCATACATTCAATGAAAGTAGCGTGTGTGTGTGCATGTGTAGGGGACTGACATATATTTTCCTAGTTTAAGAATTAAAGTTAGTGAGTAATGTATGTGTTCTACCCAGAGCATTTGAAAGTAATGTGTTCCGGAAAGGCTCCCTGTGATAAACAAGGCTGTTTATGCCTAGAGGCATAACAAAGGACCTGAGTTGCAAGTAAACAAGAGCTTCCCCGCCCCGCGGCATTGGGGGTCTGGAGGCCACATGATAAACACCCCATAAGATGGCTGGTTAGTCAATGATGGGTAAGACCCCTCAAGGGAGGGGCGACCTAAGCCAGACACAGCCGCTGGGGTTCAGCCGAAGATCTTCTGGGGTCACCCTAAGAGAAGCTGGGGATGAGAAATGCCCCCGGTGACTCACCTTGCCCATCCTTGCTAATCTTGGTCCATGATCTATGCCTAGCACCTAGAGAAACCACCTTGAAATTGTGAGTCAGGGGACATCTGCTTCCCTAAGGCTATTCTGGAATTTATGGCCATTGCTGCAATGCCTGGGTGGTTGCATACAAGGAACTAACTTTAATTTTTTAGAGTATAAAAATAAAACGGACCCAGTGTATTATTACTCGAGTCAACCATTTGTACATGTGTTCGCATTTTTCTTTGTGTTCTGCGTTTGTGTTTTGTGTTCTGTGTTCATCGTCCATCCTGTAAGCGGGCCACGACATGCGTGTGTATGTGCTCATGTCTATATGAAATGAATAACAGCCATGATATTAGGGACAGGAAGAAAGAAAGAATAATTTTTTTTATTATAAGGTACCTGTACCACCCAGGAAGGAGTACAGTGTAAGTTGCCTTCGATTTGTTGCAAACTCTAGACCCACCACTAAAAAAAGTTTAAAAAAGAAATGAGAAAAATGGGATCATATTAAATGATTAATTAAAACTTCAAAAGGCAGAAAAGGAAGGGAATTCAGAAAGAACAAAGAACCAGAGCAGTGAATAGAAAGCAGTAACAAATGTATTAGATATTAATCCAACTCTATCAGTGATTACTTTAATGTCAATGGTTAAAATATAAGACAAAGATTGTCAATGTGCACCAAAAAACAAGATGTGGCTGTATGTTGTCTACCAGAAACCCACTTTAAATACAAAGACACATCAGATGAAAAGTAAATAGACGCAGAATAATACATCATGCTAACACTCATCAAAAGAAAGCAGGGATCGATTTTTACATGAACCAAGATGGTGGACAAGAAACACCACCATCATCTCTGCAGAAAAGACAGATTCTAGGAGAAATAAGAAGAAAGAAGCAAGCAAACGAGCACACATCAGAGGAGGGTCAGAAGGAGGGGTACTTGAGACCACAGGAGGAGGTTGCGGAGGAGAACTAGAAGCAGAGATCTCCCGAGTAGCCTGGAGACCAGCGGCAAGGGTAGGAAAAGCGGTTAACTTTCCCCTCTCTTGCATCTTGGACTGCTGGTTGGCTCCCCAGTGGTTAGAGAGACCTACAGACACCAGCCCAGAGATGGCCACCGCCAGTGAGCAGTAAGCCCGTGGCAGATGTGGCACTAGGCTCCCAATTCTCCCAGGGCACCTCCAGGTGCACAGACCCGAGCCATGCGGTAGGTGCCATATTGCCTCATTCTCCCCTCCCCGACCCTAACTGAGGCTGCCAAGAGAGACAATATAGCCACCAGCCAGAGGCACCAGGGAACAGGACCTTCCCTTTTGGGGCCCTACAGCTGACTGAGGGGAACTCAGATGGTGAGCTCCCTACCCTCCAGCCCTCCCAGGTGCTGCTGGCATGGTGATCCCAGGAGAACTGGGCAGAACCTGAGGCTGAGAGACATAGACCCAGCTTGGGCTCCCCATGGGTGAATTGGGACTGGCATTCCTCTCCCTGGTGGGGTTAGGGATTGAACTCCAGGGCACAGAGGTCAGACCTGCAGACCAGATCCCGTGCACCCAGGTCTCGCATTGCCCAGGGCACAGAAGGGATATACGTGAACAGCCTACTGAGGTGTGTGTGCCTTCAGGGGCAGATCAGTGTCCTTGAGGGCAACCCTCCTTTCAAAGGGGGGCCATGCACCCAGCCCAGGCTGCAATCCTGTGCAGGGAACCTCCCAGCCAGAGGAGGCCCAGTGGTGTGAGGTCTGGCCTGCTGGCAGAGGCCCAGGAATAGCTGCGGAGTTGGGGAGGGT